ACGGGGGCCAGAGTCCGGTGTCACAGGCCGGTTGGCCTCACACCTCCTCAACCCCGGCACACCCCACCCTGTGTTTCCGGGATGCGCGCGCACACACACACACGCGCGCGCGCACACACACACACACACACACACACACACACACACACACAGGGCCTCCTCTGAACCCCGTCTGCGATACAAGAAACTCTGGGGCTCAGACAACGAAACACCGGAACCCACAGAAACTCGTGGCAAGCACAGGACCGTAGAGACCCAGAGGTGGTGCCCACGCCCAGCCCCACAAGCCAGACAACAAGCATCAGCGCCTCACACAGCCAAGTGTGAGTTCTCAGGCCGACGGAAGCGCAAGCAGCCGGGCCAGTGCTGACCCAGCCTGTGCTCATGGAACAAGCAAGGGACGTCCGGACAGGACGTCCACACGTCCACTAAGAAAACACAGAGCCACGTGCAGGCATGGGATTGAGGACCTCAACACCCTAAGGAAGCTTATGTGTCCACATAGGCAACCTGGGGAGACACAGGTTTCTCCCACTGCACCCTCTGTGTAGTTGACATGTGATCCAAAAAGAACATAAGAGCCCTCACCCATTTGGTACTGCGGCCCCCAAAGCCAATGACGCCCTTGAGCTTGAGGATCGGATCCGGAAGAAAGCTCTGAAAGAAACAAAGTCCCAGTGAGACCTGAGGAGGCGAGGCCCCATCCACTGGGACTGCACCAGCCAGGGCTAGTCCCTCCCTCCCGAGAAAGTGCCGTCGTCCTCGTGGCTGCCAGCTGCACTGTGGCAGGGAGCCAGGATGTGGCCACAGTGCGGATCCTCCAGGGACTCTAGCTCCTGCCCCTGCCTGGAGTCCAAGGCCCCTGAAGATCACTTGGTGCCTCCTTACTCTTTGTTCAAAGACAGTTTCGCCCAAAGTCATCTCTGGCCTGCTCTGCTTTCTCCCAGGAGGCTGGAAGACAAACGGTTATCAGAAGCCCAGCAGCCCCTGTCCATACCTCATCAAGGCCCCACTCCCTCAAGGCCTCACCCCCACTCAAGGCCCCTACCTTCCTGGGAAAAGGCACTGACCTGGCGCGGGGCCACATCCTCCAGGGCCACGGGCACCACGGCTGACTCCGGGGCAGCCGTGCGAACACCGTTGCCGGCTGTGTGCTTGTCAGTGACCTCTGCCCTGGCCGAGGGCTCCTGGCTACGGTCACGGGGGCCATTCATACTGGGGACCTCCGAGTGCTCACAGAACAAGCTGACCTCTGGAAGGGGCCTGGGCACAGGCCGGGCCTGGCGAGACCGCAGAGGTACAAGTGCCTGTCAGCACCCTAGGGCCACCACCCTCCAGCCCCATCCCCGAGGGCGCAGGAGCACTCACGGCTGTGGGGCCAAACATCTGGACCGCGGGGGACACGCCGTCCGGGAAAGGATTACTGAAAGCCACTGGGGGAGGGACGAGCTCCCGCACGCGCCCCGGGAAAACTGGAAAAGAGCAAATGCGTGTGGAGCAGAGCACAGAGGCCTGGGGAGAACGTGGGCCCTGGCCTCGCCACTCCTCCGGCCGCAGCCCACCCTTCCACCCTGGGCCCCCGGCGAGGTCTGAGACCAGCAGGCACCCCACACAACCTCCCGCACGGTTCTGGCACCCCAGGACGGCCTCCAGACTAGGCCCGGCCCCCGCGGGCCCCATCCCGCCAGGCTCACCACCCCCACACGGTGCCAACACCCGCTCCTGCCACGCTCCACGTCCCTGCTGACCCCACAGGCCCACCTGCCTCAGGAGGGGAGCGGCTCTTCTGAGCCGGCTCGGAAGATGCTCTTGAGCCGACACTTGGAAACCTTAACGGGGTGGAGGGAGAGTCAGGGTCCAGACTGCCCTGCCCTCCCTTCGGCAGCCGCCTCAGGACGGGCAGAGCCGCTCACCGGATGTGGATGTAGTGCTCGTGCCAGCTGTCCCCCTTGGGCACCGGGAATGCCATTTCTCGAGGTACCGGAGTGACAGGCAGCTTTGCCCGCCGGGCCTCGGCAACGGTGACGGCTACGAAAGGCAGAACCGGTTCAAGGAAGCCCACCCAGCTCCCTCTTCCAACCCAGGCGAGACTCAACACCGGGGGACGATACGGTGTCACCCGGTCCCCAGCCCAGCCACCACTGCCCCTTGCCCCCCACGGGCGCCTCAGGAGTCGGGGGGCTCCAAGACGGCTGCGATGCCAGCCCCTCCTGCTGAGAACCCCGGGACGAAGGGAGGGGAGGCGCACACGGGCAGCGGGAGGGGACGCTGCGGTAGGAGCACTGGGTACGGGCTGCGGCGCCTACCGGGGTCAAAGCACAAATCGCTGGTGTAGAGGCTCTTGACGAGCAGACTGGCGCACAGCCTGACGCTCTTGAGGTGACCATAACGCCGGTTCAGGTAGACCAGGAGGATGTCCTGCAGATCCAGCTGCAGGCACGTCCAGCGGGCACCAGAGGGGGCAACGCCAGCCAGGTCTGCACAGCACGGGCCAAGATCAGTGCCCGTGGTCTCGGCGGCCAGCCCACGGCGCTCCACTTGGCCGCAACCACGTGTGCCCCCCAGCACCTACCCCTGTGCCTGGGCCTGCCCACCTCCCTCCCCGCTCCCAGGCTGCCTCTCCGGGACCGCTGAATCCTGTTCCCTCCCTGCCTCCACCTCACCTTTCCTAGACTTCCCGGCCTCACAGATGAAGGGAAACTGAAGCCACGTGGCCGTAGACTTGAACTCCCTGAAGAGGCTGGAGAAGGACACACGGATGACCTGGCTGTCCTGCAGGCAGAGCATGACCATGAGAAGACAAGCGGGGCTGCAGGAACGCACCCCCCACCCCCCCAGCCCCCACTCCCGAGCTCGGCACCTCGGTGGCTACGTCCAGATGAATGACGAAGTGCTTGGAGGGCAGGGGCCGGAACAGCACATACAGGTACCGTCCCGTCAGCCCCAAAGACTGGGTGCTGGTTTGGGGGAGCTGAATGTAATTCCCGGCAGACACGGAACCCCGGATGCGATACACCGTGCACTTGAGAGTCTTATCCTGAAAAGAGACAAAGCAGCACACGCGTGACCCTTGGGTGGTTCTACGAAATGTCTCAGGAGCGAACGGGTCCCTGCTGCTGCCACCAAGTCCCTTGTCCACTTACTGTCACAGGAGTCACGTCGCCTTCCTTAGTAGACCGCTTCCACTCGCCCACTTTGAAGTGTCGGAAGACGTTGAGGAACGGGTGCTGCCATGCTGGGGGGTCACAAAGGTATGAGGACCCCCACGGGCAGGAAGGCCTGACCCCAGGTGCCAGACCCCCGCGGGTCCTTGGGGGAAACCTGTCCCCGGGTGCCAGACCCGCGCGTCCTGGGGACGGGGGACCCGTCCCCAGGTACCAGAACCCTGCGGGTCCTGGGAGAGGAGAGCGGCATCCCTCCGTGGGCCTCCAGACCTTCCAGGGAGGGGCCAAAGTCTGGCTCTACGCTCCCCCCACGGTGACGGCGATCACAGCGCGCGGACCCGGCTGGGGCAGCGCGGGTTCAGTACGCTCCGGTCCCCGAACCTCGGACCCCGAGCCCCGGCCTCCCGCGCGCCGCTACCTTTCGCCATGGCGTCCCAGCTCGCACTTCCCGCCTAGACCGCCGCTCACCCTACGCAGGGCACGCAGCGCGCGCTTAGCAACGGCCGCCTGGCAACGGCGCCACTTCCGCCGGCCAGCGGACGGGGCCACGTGATCTGCGGCGGGGCGGAGCGCACGAGAACGCGCGGTGGTGGCCGCGTGACTGCGATCGGCCAGGAGTCCGGTCGCAACGCCCGGGTCACGGCCGGAGGGTGCTCCTGGCCCGCTGTCCGCAGCCTCTCGGACGCCTCGGGCCTCTGCGGCCACTCTCAAGCCGGGGCCCTGCGGGGATGCTCTAGCAAGTCTAGCTGTGGGGACCTGGGAGGGGCCTCTCTGGGGCCCACCTGTATAGCGGGAACACCATGTGTGGTGGGAACGCGCTTGGCAGAATTAGTCCGTACCCACCGACGGCCCAGACTGGGCTCCACCTGCTGCCTCCAGCCCTCTAGCGATGCCGTCCACACCGGGGGTACTCCACTCGGTCCCGTGTCAGCCGCAGGCAACCCCACCCACCCAAGAAGCAAAGCAGTGTTTCACAGGGCAACTCACCTGTGTTCAGTGTCCAGCAGCTCTGGGGTATTAAGAGACAGGACTAGGCATCCTGAGACTTGGCCCCAGCCCCGAGCCACTGGGACTATATCCCAGGGCTAGTTTCGTAACATTTGTGGGTCTGGAGATGGGGTAAAGCACCTGCCAAGGGAAGAGAAAGCCAGGTGGTGCAGGGTAGGTCCAGTGACATCCAAGGAAGAGGAGCTGGCCCAGAGCCCCGGCACCTCTGTCAGGACCCAGGAGGGCCAGAACTGGGCAGAACCGCACTGTGGAGCCAAGGAAAGGTCGGGCTGGACGTGGCACAGGGAAAGGAGGACCCTGACCCCACCCCCCATGCACCAAGTAACAGCCACTCAAAAAGGGCAGTTTCTCGACTTTATTATTAGCCTGGAGCTCCTCCCTGCCAGCCCTAGGGGCTGGTCCCTGGGCACAGTGAGCAGGATTGAGGTCAGACAGTTTCAGCCCCTGGCAGCATGGGACAGCCGGGCCAAGGGGTCAGCAGGTGCAAAAGTCCAAATGCTGGCACTTCAGGTGTGGCCGGCGCCTGGCCGGGCTCAGGGTGGAGCATGGTCCGCCTCAGCAGTTCATCAGGGCGCCGTGGTCCTCTCCTGGCAGGGGTCCACCATGAGGCTCATTTGGGCCCTGCAGGGGAGCGGTTCCTTCCAAGGTGGCTAGGAGCAGTTAGTGATTCTGGCCAGGAACTGCTGCGCCCACCACTCGTCCAGGTCAATGGGCACGAAGTCTGCGGGCACAGTAGAAGGCTGGGCAGTGACGCTGCCTTCCAGGTCGGTCAGTGTCTCTCCCTGTGAGCTGACCGCAAGCCCTTCACCCAGGCCCAAATGTAGCAAGCGCTAGGAAAAAGCGGGTCAAGTTCAAGCGCCCTCCCCAATCCCCTGGGGCTAGAACCCAGCAGGGCCCAGGTCAGGGTCAGAGGAAGTGGGGGGGACTCCCTGAGGGCAGGGGAGGGCTCACTCTGCAGCCGGGGGTTGGGGGTCTTCTCCACATACTGCACGGGCCTGGGCCCACTCTCACCAGCTGGGCCACCACCCAGCTGCCGCTCCACTTGCTGCCACGCTGTGGGGAGAGGGCAGTCGGACTGAGCCAGGGCCCTGGCATCCTGTCTTCCGCCCAGAGCCTGGTGGCCACCCTGGACCCCAGCCCAGAACTGGAGCAGGCAGTCCCCTGGACGGTCATGGGACAAATAGAGAGTCGAGGAAGGGCCCGGCCCTCTGGCTACTCTGAGTCAGATGGCAGTGGGGAAGAGGAACAGGGGCCCGAGCCACACCCTCGGGCCTCAACGCTACCTTCAGACACAAATCGGACGTTTTCCTCATGGGCCAGTGTATAGGTCTCTTGGGTCCCCTCAAGGGATGGAGATGTGACGGGGGGCCGCCGGCCATTCACCCGATTGAACACGAGCCTTGGCCCCGGGCTGTGGAGGGGGGAGGAGCCAGTCAGCAACTGTCCAGAGCCCAGGTGATGCCCGGCAAAGCTCCAGGAGCAGGTTCCGGCCACACACCCCCACCCCGGGCCCGGGCCCAGCCCAGGCACTTCCTTGAACTTCAGAGCGGCTGCAGGGGTGGTCGAGGCCGCTCCCCCCAGGCCCAAGCCCCCAGCAGCTCAGTTCACACCTGCGGTCCCCAGCCATGTCCCAGATCCCCAGCAGGGTTCCCTGCTCAAGGCACACAGGTGCTCTTTGTCCAAGGGTCTCTCGGGCACCCCTGCTGCCACCTGCATCCCGCCTCCCCAGGACGGGCCAGGCCTCCGGCAGCCCCTGTTCTGACCTAAGCTACTGCCGGGTCACTCTGTCCCAAGCACAATTCTCGGCCATCTTCTTCCCCCACAAAAGCTTCTCCGTCTCACCACTACCCCCAGTGTGGGAGGAAGGACCCAAACAAGAAGGTGGTCTGAGCCCTTCCCTCTTCCTGGCCGCCCCAGGCTCCGTGGGGATGAGCCCTAAGTGATGGTCTGGCCGAAGACCGCTGGGTCGGGAAGGCGTGACTACAACCCCAGCCCAACCCTGCAGGCCCCAGACCAGGCACCGCTGTTGCCCACAGGGGTGGGAATGTTGAGCGAAGAGGCGGTCCCCGGGAGCCCGGGGCTCAGCCTATTGGGTGTGGGATGTCCAGGGAGCCGCTGGGTCTGTCCCCAGTCAGCAGGGCCCAGGGCGGTGATGGGCCGCTCCAGCTGGCGGCAGCTGGCCTGGCCCTGCACACACAAAGCCCAGGACGGGGCGTGGAGGGGGCGGGGCCCGCACCTACAGCAGGAGGTGGGAGCCGGGAGTCCTGGGCTGCACGTGCCACTCCGCCAGGCACTCGCGGTCCCGCCGGCCTGCTCGCCTTCCTGGGCTCAGGTGCCCCACCGCCGCTCGGGGGTCCTCCTTGGCTGAGAGGGCCACTAAAATAAAGAGGAGGGTCTTGAGGGGCACCGGTCCCGCCAGCTCTGGGCCGGCAGGGTCTGGTGGCCCAAGAAAATGTAGAGGGGCGGGGCTCCTCCCAGGCCTGAGCTGCACCAGCCAGGGGGTGTGAAGGTTTGTCCTCGACTCGGACGGCCCCTCGCCTGCCACCCCCGCCCCCACAAAGGCTGCTGGTTCCAGGAAAGTGGAGGCCGGACATCAAAAAAGCAAAACAAAAAAGGGAATTGCAGCCATAGGCTGTGAATCACAGGGACCACGGTGGTGGCCTGACCAAGGCTGCGTAGGGGCCCGAGGGGCAGGCGCCCACCTGCCTGCTGCCTGGAGTCATTTACGTAAGGCCCCTCCACAGGCCTTCTGGTGAAAGGACACTGGCTCGAGCGTGCACCTGTAGATGAAGGCCACACTGTGCCTGCTCCCGAGGGTGCTGCCCCCAGGCATGCTCCAGTGCCCCTGCTCAAGCCTACCTGGGTATCTTGTCACACAGTCTCCTCTCCGACCTCTGAGGTCAGCCGCCCACCCGTTTTCCAGCCCAGGGCCCCAGACTCCTCGAGAGGGAAGTGACCCGCCCAAAGTCACATGCTGCGTATGGGTGGCAGTTTCAGGACTTAACTGCACACCTGTCTGACCTCAAAGCCCACAGCTCGGTAAAACCCCCAGGCCGCCTCCCCCACCTGCTCACATGACCACAGGTGGTCACGCGGCGTCGTAGTATTTTCTTTCCAAGGACGGATATCGCCTCCACTGATGTTTTCTCTCCCGTCGGTCTCACGCTGGGAGCAAGAGCTCCTCAGAGGCACAGACCCACGTGGCCTGTTCACCACCATGGCCAGTGCCCAGACCCATGCCTGGCTGGAACCCCAGCCTGTATATTTAGCTGGTCAGACACCTGGCACACCTGTAGGGCACCAGGCGTAGAGGATGCGGCAGCGGCCCAGACACGCCCTCTCTCACCGGCCAGTCAGGGTGAGGGATGCTGGGGCAGTACAAAGGCACGGCAGAGAAAACAACAGGAACGCTGCAGCCGTTGTGGGGGGGGGGGGGGGGGGGGGGGGGGGGGGGGGGCCTGAGAAGGTGCATGAGAGGGGGTAGGGAGGACCCACAGGCTGCTTTGGCCTCCTGGCAGGGTCCTTTCAAGGCAACTGGGACTGGGGGCAGGGGCAGCTCCAAAAGCGGGAGTGATTTGGGAAGGGAGTGGGCCGGCCCGGCGAGCACACTGCATGCCTCACTACTCCCTACACAAGCGGGACACTGAGGGACACGCTCCCTCAGGCCCAGGCTGGTCGGCAGCCCCCTGGCCTGGCAGGCTGCAGTGTGCCCAACTGGCTAGGGCCAGATGAGGACAAAGATGAGGCCTCCTGGGGGTGTGAAGGGCTCTATGCTGTCTGTCCCGTCTTCTTCCCTAGCACTTGCCAGCTGTGTCCCGGATGCGCCCTGGGCCAGCGACAACGGGCAGATGGTGGTAAGTTTCTCCAGGTGGAGTGCCTGGGCCACTTGGGTCCCAGACTGTCTGCCTGGGTGACCAGAGGTGGCTATATGCCTAGGTCTCGTTTATTCCTCCGGGCAGTAGGGCAGCTGTGAGGACCCAAGCTGAAATCACAAGGCAATATTATAGCTCAGCCTGGGTCCCAGGCGTCACCCCCCAAGGCCCCGTTCACCTGTCTCCCCACGACACACCTGTGGCTGGCCCAGAACGTTTTCATCACTAGGATCCAAGTGTCAACCGGCCCCCAGCAGAAGGCCCCCCGGGGAAGAGTCTCGGCCCAGAAAGATCCCCACAGGATGCCGCCTCCAGGCAGGCGCCCGTCACCTGCACCCTCCTCAGCGATGCCACCTTGTTTATCTGCTGCCTGGACACACAGCCCTAGACAGGCGGCCTCAGGCCTCTGTGGGCCTAGAAGAAAGCCCAGGGCCCAGGAAATGCACAGAATAAGTGACACCACAGGCCCAGAGTCGAGACAAAAAAGTAAAAGGCTCGGCTCTGGGAGATGGAGAGGATCTGACCTTCAGGTCAAGGTCACGGGGAGGCCAAACTGACTGGGACTGCCATTCCTGTGGCCACAGGGGTTGTAGGCTGGCAAAACTGGTGATCATAAAAAGGCAGAAAGCTGCAGCTTCCAGCAAGCCCTGACCATCTGTGGGAGGCCTCCCAGTGCCCAGCGAGGGTGTTGTGGGTGAAGGGTAGAGGAGAGCGGTGGCCTGGCAGGGCCAGAGGGAACCACGTGCACCCTCTCCCCTAGCTGGTTCCGCAAGGACGGGGCCAGCGCCAGGAGGCCTTCAGGGCCAGCACTCCCGGGGATATTTTGCTCTTGTCCTCCTGGGCAGCTCGCCTCAAACCTCGGCCTTGCGGCCCAAGGTCGCCCGGGGCATGTGAGTCAGCCGCGTGGAGCTCCTCCGATCCAGGAGCTGGTCAGCTTCCTCCCCACTCGGGGTCGCCAGGATCCCACAGGACCAGCGCGGGAGAGGGGTTCATGCACATCCAGCCCAGCCCCTCCGACCCAGCCCGGTGCCAGGTGAGGTGGAGGCGCCGAGGTGCGGAAGCCGGAGCTGCCCGCGCGCCCTCCCGGGGCATGTGGCCGGGTCTCCGCAAACCTTCCCCAAGGTCACCCTCTCTGTGCCGCGGCGGCCGGCCCACGCGTCTCACCTCGACAGGGGCCAGGGTCCCGGCGGCTGCGCCCGCGGGGGCGATGGGGTCGGCGGCGCGGGCTGCCGGCATTTCAGGAGCTCGCCGAGCCTGCTCTCCACCTGCTGCTGCGAGGGACCTGCGGGCACGGGGCGCGTCAGCCGCCGCCGAGGCTGGGCGGTCACTCCGCGGACCCTCCCCCCGGCGGCCCTGCCCGCCCCCGGCCCCTCGCCCCACGCACCTGTGCGGCGCTGCGCGACCAGCTTGCTGGGCCCCTTGGTGATGGTGTACATGGTGCGGACGGGCAGCCAGCCCGCGCGCTCGCCCGGACGCACGCCCTGCCCTGCCCTCCGCCCGGGCTCGCACTCGGCGGGGGCCCAGGGCGCGGCCCCTTTAACCGGCGGCCGGGCGCGGCGGGGAGGGGGCGGGCCGCTACACGCCCCCGGCCCTTAAAGGGCCCGCGCGTACCGGTCGGCCTCGGGGCACGCGGCGGAGGTCGGGCCGTTGGGAGGCCGGCCGGGGCCGCAGTAACCAGCGCCCCACCCCGCATGGCCCAAGGCCAAGGCAGAGGAAGCGTTCTGAGGCCTGGGACGGCCTTCGGCCGCCTGAAGGCCAGGTGAGCCGCGGGGGAGGCGGGGGCGTTGGCAGGCGCTGGGAACGCTCTGTGTGGACCCTGGAACCAAGGCTTGCCCCCACTCCTGTCGGGGAGCTTCGGCCAAGGTGCCTGCGTGGGCCTGGGCCGGTATCAGGGGGCATTCTGGGCCTGTGTCTTGGGACTGCTGGGCCAGAGACCAGAAAAAGTGGGTCCGCCCCCTGGGTTTGGGCAGGGACCCAACGCCCTGGGAATCTCCCTTCCACTCCAGGGGACAGGAATAGTGGGTGCACTCCATTTCCTGACTCAGCCTCCCATGCCAGGGTCCCCACCCAGCTTCAGGGAAGGGAGGCCCCTTATAGACTGGGACCAGTGTGAGGGTGATATCCTGGGGAGAGAGAAGGTGGGTGAGGACGCCCGGTTTGCCTGTTTAACTCCAATTGGAAGGGAGCAGTCACCTCCCACTCCCGCCCTCTTGGAGGCATAGAGGTCCCCCTCCAGAGCTGCCTGGGGACCAGGCCTGCCTGGAATGTAGGGGCCAGGTGGCCTTCCACCCGCAGGCTTCCTTTGTTCTAGCTCACAGGCTGCTCCGGAGCTCCTCAGGTTGAGGCCGGGGAACCAGGGCACTCTGGAGCCTGGGAGCCTGAGGACCTGGTGGGCTCAGCATAAGGCTCCCCTCATCCTCCATGTGGTTGAATTCAATCCTTAACATCCCCCCACCCAAGAAAACACTCTGTCCAGAGTTGTCCGGGGGTCTTGGAATCCACCCCCGAGGCTTGTGTGGCTCCCACGGGGCTCCTACACTGTTCCCACAAGTATGTGAGGAGGCTGAATGCAGCAGGCACCAGGGCCTGGGGAGTCCAATGGGGCCATGTCTCAGTCCGGGAGCTGCCACCAGAGGGGCAGTGGCCCTGGAGCAAATGCAGCCCCACTTTCCCTACACTTCCCCCTCAGAGCAGGGCTGAAACAGGCAGAGAGCACAACATGGGGAGTGGGAACTGTGAG